GGTAGTTCAAATTCATTTTGGCTCTGTGGAATATTAAAAAGTATATTCATCATGCCCTGTAAAGAACCATTTTAGTAAATACTGATCGAGATACAAGAATATCAAAATTTGGCACCATTTTCAAGCGGATATGGAGATTCAGGAGAAGCTTGTCATAATTTTGTCGAGGGATATTATTTATTACCTGAAACATGTTCTGAGACTGGATGTGTGTGGTGGGGAGAGGGTTTATATACAGGTTGTCTAAGTGATGACTGGAGGGTGTTTCTACTATTTCGACAACAGCGCCATCCTTGACCTACGTTGATTCCCTCTACTGTGCATGTCTCCATTTTCTTTCATTTTGCATCGGTCGGCTGAAGAAGGCATCATTTTTTCAAATTAATATTCTAGGTGAAATTCAAATCTTAATTCTTAATGAACATTACAATATGCACTTATCTTCAGTTGGCTGATGTGGCAGTAAAAGCTGAGAAGACTGAAGAGCAGGAGCTTCCAGAACTCCCAAGTCTTCCAAACGATATATCTCCTGATTCAAATCCACTTACAATAATTCCCATCCCAATGCCTGGTAAGGATCAGACATATCCTAATAATTACCGAACTATATAGCTTTAACACGCTATTTATGTAAAACCACGGAAAGGATGATAAATGAACATCTTATATGGTTTCTTGAAACTAATAAAATTTTAACTAATATTCAATGTGGTTTTGGAAAAAAAACGCAGTACTATTGACCAGTTGCTGAGACTGGAAACCTGTATTAAAGATGCTTTTTAAAACAAAAAAAGCTTGTTGTATCTGTGTATTTTGTTTAAGAAAAGCATATGATACTACATGGAGACATGGCATTTTAGAAGACCTCCACACTATCGGTCTTAAAGGACATCTACCAAATCTTATCCAGAATGTCTTGTCTGATAGACATTTTAAAGTACGCTTAAGGTCTACATTTTTGGAAAGTTTTGAACAGGAAATGGGTGTACTACAAGGTAGTATTCTATCAGTAACTCTATTCAGTATAAAAATTTACAACTTGGCAGAATTTTTGAAAATGATGTGCTTGGAAGTTTATACTTTGAAGCAACGTCCGTCCTCCAAGGATGTAGATGGTCAGAATTTCATTTGTTAGATTTTAATTGGTCAGATTTTGATTGGTCAATCTCTGCCTCTCCTACCACGGTAAGACATGGAACAAAATTATCATTACAAAACACAGCTTTACAGTATTTCAGACTTTCACAATCAAGGAGGACACTTATTGATTGCAATAAAAAAATTTAAGTAAACTTAAATTTATTTATTTTAATGCAATAAGTATTTTGATACCCCGGTTACCCATCAACTGGTTAATTTCTTTCCATAGTCCTTTCAAAACTAGAACACCATATCGTATCCTCCTTCAATGAGTAACAAGAGGCCCATGGACCACATCGCTCACCTGGCCACCTTTGGTCTGCCATTGTGGCCCCGCCTAACCCCCCAAGGTCAATAATTTACCTCGTTTAAGAAATTGTTCATACGTAGAGCATGATCTTGCGTATCGAATCAACTGAGATATAAATACTCTGTATGCAGGTGATGAAGGTATATTGCTGCATAAGTAAGGGAAGTTGACGATAGAAGTTAAAGTCATCACGTTTATCATATAGCTTGGTTGATAGATTACCATTTATGTCTTTTTCAAGTAAAATATCCAAGTATGAAGCAGATGTGTTTGACTCTGTGTTATTATTAATTGACAATACGTCGTCGATATATCTAAATGTCGAGTTGAAGGCCACAGCAAGTGTTTTTTTCTTTTCACGCAAAAGATTTTGCATAAATTCTGCTTCATATGAATATAAAAATAAGTCTGCTAATAACGGAGCGCAATTTGTACCCATGGGAATTCCAATAGATTGTTGGAATACCTGGTCTCCAAACACCAAATAGATATTGTCAATCAGAAACCCAAGCATCTTCTTGATGTCAACTTCAGAGTACTTATGTGTACAATCAGAATCTGTTTTAACAAAATAATTTTTCAAATGACCAATGACGAGGTAAGTAAACTTACGAGTTCCATTTTTGTTGAAGAAGCAGCTGTCAATGATATCAAAAAGCCTGGATTTTAATTTGTCGTGCGGAATTGTTGTGTATAAAGTTGAAAAGTCGTAAGTTTTAATGCAGTTGATTTTTGTAAAGTCTTGTGATTTCAAATTGTCCAAAAGTTCTTTAGAATTTTTAAGTATCCACATCTGATTTACACCACTTCTTGAATATATAGTTGTACAGTACTCTTGAAGTTTTTCCTTCACTACTGTCAATATTTTAGTGAGAAGTAACGAAAGAGGCTTGGTTGAACATTTACTGGAACCTGCAATGTATCTTTGTTTGTAAGGATTCTTATGAAGTTTCGGAATCCAATATATATAAGGTAGTTCAAATTCATTTTGGCTCTGTGGAATATTAAAAAGTATTCAAAACTGACAGGTGATTTTGAAGGATTTCTTCTTTAGAAAGAGTAGTATATGTATAAGTAGGATTACCACTCGTAGAATTAAATCCAAGTTCTTCTAAAATGCAATTAACATAATGAGCCTTACAAACGAAGACAATGTTGTTACCTGCTTTGTCGGCAGGAACCAGTACGTACTGATCGTGTAATCTATCTAATTCTTTTTTCACTTCTGGTTTATTGAACATAGAAGGATAGATGGTTTTCATTTATGAATTGTTGAGCTTGATAAATCATCATATGCATCACTGCTGAACATTATTATCTTTCTATAACATTTAGTTAATTTTAAAAACCATAAATATCGTTCTTTAATTTATGCACGTTTGTATACAGAGACAACCTGTCCCACCTCCATGCTGAAATGGGTACTTTTTGCTCCTCTATCGTAGGAGAGTTACTATCTCGAAACTTGCGAATTGGTGCCCAGTACCTTCAGGACCATCACAAAACGGGTGCAAGTCACTGCGCCCCAAAACCAGAACGCTACATGCACGAACACCCAATTTTTTTTACCGGCGCCAAAAGACAGATATGAGCGCTAAAAATTTAAATCACGAGCGCCTCAAACCTATTTCACGAGCGCCCCGAGGCTTATAAAGTCATCACGTTTATCATAAAGCTTGGTTGTTAGATTACCATTAGTGTATTTACAAGTAAAATATCCAAGTATGAAGCAGAAGTGTCGGACTCTGTGGTACTTTTATCTCAAGCTCACCAGGATATATCGTGTTGACGTAGGAGTGGAAACTATCATTATTAATTGACAATACGTCGTCGATATATCTAAATGTCGAGTTGAAGGCCACTGCAAGTGTTTTCTTCTTTCACGTGAAAGATTAAGCATAAATTCTGCTTCTTATGAACATAAAAGAAGTCTGCTAATAACGGGGCGCAATTTGTACCAATGGGAATTCCAATAGATTGTTGGAATACCTGGTCTCCAAAAACCACATGGATATTGTCAATCAGAAACTCAAGCATCTTCTTGATGTCAACCTCAGAGTACTTATGTGTGCATTGGCATTGTGGTGGGAAGTTTTCATCAGCCATGGAATAAAGTACTCATTCGACTATGGACCCCGCACTCTCGAATACGTTGTCCACAGACATTTGCTGTTATTTTCTTCGCCATCGTCAATCCTGCGGCTCCCTCGTGGCAATGCTGTTGTTTTTCCATTGTGAAAGTACCCTTCCGTTCCTTAACGGTGGTCATACAATAAAGCGCCTTCCGACGGAAAGCAGACTTCCAGTCTCTTCCATTGGGCAAAGTCCTCTTTAGGTTGTACGTGTAACCATGGTTGTCAGCAAGCATATCGTTGTTGTTGCGCGACGCAACCATGAGGCAGACCTACTTTGTACAAACACAGAATCACGGCATGTGTCGTCAAAAGGCTACAAAGTTTGAATTCGGTATTGTTACGTCCAGGTTATAAGCTGGTACTGTCAATGTAAAGAATGACCCTGTGTTGTTCAGACCTGTTGTCATGTCACTTCCCTTGTTATTATATCTTTGCATTGGACGTTACAGTGAGAGCACTATAGAGAGTCTGGGGGACTGGAGCAAATACCTACTTGATGCGAAGAATACCCAGAGCCACTGACAGTGGATGAAAGCGAGAGTGAAAATAAGAATGATGAGGAATCATGTTGTACAATACAATTTACATCCATTTTGAAGTAAAAAAAGCTGTTCATAAAAAAACTTTCTCATCAGGTCTTGAACATTCAGACCATTCACATCCACAAACGAAACAGTATGCACAATTGAAAATAATTCATATATGTGTGTATTACACACTCAGACCCACTGTACGGTAGTAACTCGAATTTTATTGTTTTATGTGCATTGACTGCAAGGGTATTAGTACAAGGTACTATATGTACTATGAAGCAATACTAATTGTTGTCAAGATAAAATATCAACGTAGTCGAATTAAAGACTATAATTCAATCACTCATCGAAAGAATAGGGAATGTAGAAAACAGGGTTAATTCTAAGGATAATACGATCAGTTCTCTAACTTCAGATCTACATTTGCTTGAATCAGAATTTAAACAACTTCGATATGATCACGAACGTTTGCGCACGCTGAATCATGTTTATAAAGTATGACTCGTTTCAAGAACTGTCATCTGATAACTTCAAACGTATGGAAAATGATCACCTAGACTGTTAATCCTACAAATCAATCAAAGTACTCAGAAGTACAGAGAGCCGGGCTCATTTACAGAGTAGAATGGATTTCTTACATGAATCACGTTTATATTCTGATGAAAAATTATTTTAAAACTATTAATATAAGACAAGACACTGACAGTGAGTTTTTTTAATCATAATACCACGGTCCGATTTTGTCAGAATCAGAATTAATCTAGTACCGCAGCTGAACGTAAACAAACAGGCCAGTCTGGTTCCCTCTCCTGCTTTACCTCGTATGTGTAGAGAACTAGGGTAATACTGATTATCACTAATAACAATAGGTGACCTAAAAACATGATAATCAGTGACAGAAAAGATATAGAACATTGTAGACAAGCTCAAAAGTCAACAGAGTCAGAGATAAGGGCTGTTATTGAAATAAACTCTAGTCTTCAAGAATCTGTAACTGACCTGAAGGCACGCTCAATGCGCGACAATCTAGTATTCACAGGAATACGGGAACATGCGTGGGAAAACACCGAACAGGTACTGCAAGATTTCCTCCAAAGAAAGTACAGACTGGAATACCCATTAGATTTTGACAGAGTTCACAGAATGGGCAAGTTTAATGAATTTAGTGAGTTGTCGAGAAAAATAGTGGCCAAATTTTCATTTTTCAAGGACAAGGACCACATACTATCAAATGCAGTTAGAAGACTTAGGGGAATTGGAGTGTTTGTAAACGAGCAGTTTCCACCTGAGATCGAGGAGAAAAGGAAAAAGTTGTACCCTGTGATGAAACAAGCGAAACTGGATCACAAACGTACAAAGTTGGTGTGTGACAAACTCTTTATTAACGGGAAGGAATACATCCCGCAGGAAAACGCCCCCGTTTTTAGATCCGAGTGGAACAGTGAATCCGCCCCTGATCAGATCAACAGAACACCGAAAGACCGCAATTTAAAGAGGGCACGAGTATCATCAACACCAGACAAGTAGGAACGCGCAGGAGAACGGACAAACAGTGCTCTTAAATTCCTAACATTGAATGTGTGCGGCATAAAAAACCGACTCAATTATAGCGAGTTTACAGAGAATATATTAAAATACGATGTGATCGGGTTTACCGAGACCAAAACCGATGACACGGACAGTATCTGTATACCTGGATATGTCACGTACGTTAAAAATCGACATAAGTTAAAAAAAACTAGATCTGGTGGAATTTTAGTAGCAATAAGGGACAGTATTGTGAAATATGTACAAATTATCAAAACTGATTGTAAATATGTTTTGTGGTTTAGAATCAATAAGGATATGGAAATAACGAACAGTATTCAATCTCAACGTCCATTAAACAAATATACAAAACAAGAGCAGAGCAAACACGGACCTCCGAAACATCAGAGGTGGGATCAGGTGCCATGGAGGAGTGAGCATCCCCTGCTGACCGGTCACACCCGCCGTGTGCTCATTGTCATAATCAGGAAATAACGGAAAAAAATCCGTAGTCAATTCAGTGTATAAATAATGGACTAACAATTGGTATGAAAAACGTCAGTCAGCATTTCTTTCAATCAATGATAAATTGTATTTGCTGACAAGGTCATTGTATCGACCATAGAATTTACGAAATGATGACTTTAAACGAGACTGTTGATATTCTTGTTTCATCAACTTGCTTGTCAATGATTTACCTCGTTTAAGAAATTGTTCATACGTAGAGCATGCTCTTGCGTATCGAATCAACTGAGATATAAATACTCCGTATGCAGGTGATGAAGGTATATTGCTGCATAAGTAAGGGAAGTTGACGATAGAAAAGTTAAAGTCATCACGTTTATCATATAGCTTGGTTGTTAGATTACCATTTGTGTCTTTTTCAAGTAAAATATCCAAATATGAAGCAGATGTGTTGGACTCTGTGGTATATTTTATCTCAAGCTCACCAGGATATATCGTGTCGACGTAGGAATGGAAATTATCATTATTAATTGACAATACGTCGTCGATATATCTAAATGTCGAGTTGAAGGCCACAGCAAGTGTTTTTTTCTTTTCACGCAAAAGATTTTGCATAAATTCTGCTTCATATGAATATAAAAATAAGTCTGCTAATAACGGAGCGCAATTTGTACCCATGGGAATTCCAATAGATAGTTGGAATACTTGGTCTCCAAAAGTTCTTTTTAACACAAGTGATGATATATTATTCGGGGTTTGCTATATTCCTCCCGAAGGAAGTAAATATTCCTCTAATGATTGTTTTTCAGAAATAGAACAAGAATTGATTACTCTAGCAAATGATAATAGAAATGTCTGTTTAATGGGAGATTTTAATGCTAGAACTGGTCATCTACCTGATTATTTTATTCCCGATAGCTTTTTGTCAAAAGAACATATATGTAATGATTTTTCTCACAATGAAATTGAAGCACGAACTATTATTTTCGATAAATATTCAATACCTTTACAAAGAATTGTCCAAGACTCGAATATTAACAATTTCGGCTATAAATTAGTAAATTTTTGCAAAAACAATTATATTTATATAGTCAATAGCCGTTTAGGAAATGATAAGAACATTGGTGCTGTTACGTGTAAAAACTGTAGTACGGTTGACTATGACCTAGCTAGCGTAAAAGTTTTAGAAGTTATACAAGATTTTAATATTCACGATTTCTGCAATTTATTTTCAGATGTACATAAATCGTTATCTTTTACAATTTCCAGTCTTGATATACGGTCTGAAAATGTTCGCGTAGGTGATGAGAATCAGTCAAGTGTGAAACTGTGGTGTCAAAACAAAGCAAATCAATATAGTAGTAAAATCTCACTGTCCAGCGTAGAGGCTATTGAAAACTTTTTGAATGAATTATCTACTCGTGATGATACAATTAGCGGAGCGGACATTTCTAAGGTAGCAAATGATATAAGTAAGGTTTTTACAAATGCAGCCAGAGAAACATTTGGATTGCAGAAGCACCGATGTCTTCTGTCTTGAAAAAAGTACACTATACATTTGACTACTCTCAGGCAGTTTCAATTCCTCACCATGTTTGCCAAGTTGGGCCACTTTACTTTGCTACCCCTAGAAAAGTTCAGCTTTTCGGAGTAGCCATGGTAGGTAATACTAGTAAGCAATAACCGCCATTAACCATGATTAAGAAAATCTTCAGTGCTTGTTACTTGTAATTTATCTTTCCTGAAAAAATAGGTTTAAGGAAGCAGTACAATTTCCTTGTTGATGAAGATTCCACACCCGGGGAAAATGGCACAAAGATCAAAGGTATAATCGGGGTTATATCAATGTTACACTATTGTTTGGAAAATTTTGGATGTGGGGGAAAAGATTGTCATCTGCATTGTGATAACGCTTCAGGTGAGAAAACTAATACGAAAAATTATTAACCGGTAGTAAATCTCGCATACACTTCATGTTATTGGTCATTACGTTTTAGGTAGTTTTAAAAACGGCATTATTTTTCTTAATAGGAGAAAACAACCAGAAGTCTCTGTCGAGACTGTAGCTCTACTGGTTTGTACTTATCAAAAACCATTGCACTATTTTATGTATCCTTGTGTAGTCTACTAAATATGTGTGCCAACTTATTTTGAAATCAAACTAAAACTGTAGAAGGAGTAGCATTTTAAAGGAATTTCAGAGAGAATTCTATTTTTAGTAACCATGGCAACACCGCTCAATAAAATCAAAAACAGATGCATTATTCTATGTATCTTAGTGTAGTCTACTTGTGTGCCGCCAAGTTGTACTGAAATCAGACCAAAACTGTAGAAGGAGTAGCATTTTAAGGGAATTTCACAGAAAATTTATTTTTAGTAACCATGGCAACACCGTTCATCAAAATTAAAAACTGATGCACTGTTCTATGTATCTTAGTGTAGTCTACTTGTGTGCCAAATTATATTGAAATCAGACTAAAACTGTAGGAGGAGTAACGTTTAAAAGAACGATCAAAGAAAATTCTATTTTTAGTAACCATGGCAACACCAGGGATCGAAATCAAAAACGAATGCACTATTTTATGTATCTTAGTGTAGTCTACTTGTGTGCCAAGTAATATTGAAATCAGACTAAAACTGTGGGAGGAGTAGCGTTTTAAAGAAGTTTCAAAGAAAATTCTATTTGAAGTAACCATGGCAACACTGTTCATCGAAATCAAAAACCGATGCACTATTTTATGTATCTTAGTGTAGTCTACTTGTGTGCGATGTTATATTGAAATCAAACCAAAACTGTGGGAGGAGTAGCGTTTTAAAGAAATTTAAAAGAAAATTCTATTTTTAGTAACCATGGCAACACCGTTCATCGAAATCAAAAACCGATGCACTATTCTATGTATCTTAGTGTAGTCTAATTGTGTGCCAAGTTATATTGAAATCAGGCCAAAACTGTAGGAGGAGTAGCGTTTTGAAAAATTGTTTACAGACAGACGGACAGACAGATGGACGGACGACGGACACCTTACCAGCGCATAAGCTCTTCTGGTCTCTGACCAGTAGAGCTAAAAACAGGTTTATGCTTGCCTATTTATTATGGAGAGTTCTTAGTGGTAAACATGAGATAATTCATCTCCATATGCAAGTTCCATACCATGGTAAAAGCCTTGTTGACGCTGGGTTCGCGTACATAAAGAAACTTTATAGAAGATCTGAGGACGACTCCCCGGATCAGCTGGCAAACGTTGTTCGGAAGAGTTCAACATCAAATGAAGTTGTTTTTGGTGGAACAGAGGGGCACTGGTTAGACTGGAAGATGTTTATCCAAGACTATTTCCTTCCCTTTAAGGGTATTAGAAAATACCGGCATTTCGTCTTCAAGGCAGAAAACGAAGGTGGAAAAAAATGTATTTACTGTATTTCTAAATCTGTGAACACACACTTATTTACTTTGAAATATCTGAATTAAATCTACACAATATTTTAAAGGTATTATTAAAGCTAGCGAGGCACCAGAATTTTCAATTATAAAAGTTAAATTGTTAAAACCTGGAGTTGACATAGGATCCATCCAGCCCCCTGTGATCATCCCAGCCGCTGAGTTGTCAGCTGACTGACAGAAATATCTATATAAAGAGATAGAGCCATCTTATGCATAAAATGGTCCTATATCAATTAATTAACTATCACCCTCTTTCCCATTTCATATATCAAAAGAAAGTAAATACTTGGTGCTCTAATTTCCTATAACAAAATTTCGTTTTTGAGAATCTAAATATTGGAAAACAGATTTAATAAATTGCAATGTTCTTCAAATTTGCAAAAAAGCATGCGTATTCAACTACTTTCAGCAAAGAATTAAAATATAAGCACAGTCCACGATCCAAAAAATAAAACATTTTGAAAGAATTTCTATTTTTAGTAACCACGGCAACACCGTTCATCGAAATCAAAAACCGATACACAGAATTATGTATCTTAGTGTAATCTACTTGTGTGCCAAATTATATTGAAATCAGAGCAGAACTTTAGGAGGAGTAGCATTTTGAAAAATTGTTTACAGACGGACAGACAGACGGACGGACGCATTACCATCGCATAAGCTCTTCTGGTCTCTGACAAGTAGACCTAAAAACCTGGTAATTGCGAACAATATCAAAGCATGCTCAGAGAATTCTTTAAAACAAAATTAAATGTGCACTGTCAAATTTGAATAAATAATGCATATATGGCAAACTTTAACATTGAAAAAATATTCAATTTAGTCCCTTCTCCAACGATGTCCCAGATTTGTTCACAGCTGAACCTGTCCAATCTTCACCAATCTCACCGTGGATGTCATTTTGTAACAAGGGTTGTAGAAAATCCTTTACTATAAGACTTAAATATTGGTTGCTAACATTTATGACCTGTTAATTGTACTTGATTCTTCGTTACAAGTTGTTCCAATTTATGTAAACTCATCCAACATTTACTGTAAAAAAAGTTTTTAAGTCTCAACTAGTTTAAATAACTGAATCTTTAAGAATTGGAATTTT